TTAATAAAGGGCCCGGTTCTGACCCACTCCCCCCTAGCAGCAGCAGCCGGGTCACCTGGGCACGGTGGACAGGTAGGTGACCAGCCTGCGCAGGTCCTCGTGCTTTATTCGGTCGTGGTTGCTCCTGGAGGGGAACGTCAGGATTGGACCTCCTCTCTTGTCCCGACCACCTGAACAGAACCAGGACACACAGACAACAGCTGATTAATGACGGGCCAGAAAACTGAACGTTCACATGAAGGAGCTGAAACCAGAGAGTCCAGCAGCGCCTGGTCGGTTCTACCAGAACATCTACGGAACATCTATAGAACATCTAGAGAACATCAATTCAGGTTGATTTTTAAATGTTCTGGACCAACTTTAACTCTTTGTGGAGAATTCTTTAGTCGCTGTTTTACTTGTTTTAAGTCATTTTTAAAGCTTCCTGGAGTTATTCTGGATTATTTTAAAGTCATTTTGGACACATGAGCTGTTTTTAAACAGCTTTGGAGACATTTAGAAGGATTTTAAACCGTTTTAAACACATCTTTGAGCCTTTATTGACATTTTTGAATCATTTTGGATTAATTTTAAACACTTTGAACTAATTTTAAGCCATTTTGGGCAATTTTTTAAAAAGTCTTTCTGGAAAAGTTTTCAGTCGTTGTGGACGTTTCTGTCAGTTCTGATAAATTCTAAACCAGTTTTAAGGAAGTTTGGTTGATGTTGAAATCATTCTGGACAGTTATTGAGACACTTCTGGTATTTCTGAGTAAACGTGGAGGATTTTTAAACATCATTTTACGTCTAACTTTGGTTGTTTTGGTCGTTCTGTGTCTCGTTTTAAGGCCCTTTGCACGTCTTTGGGGTTATTTTATGTCCAACTTTGGACATTTTCTGTCTCATTTTTTTGTTGTTCTTCATCTTTTTGGTCATTTTTCATCTGATTTAGAATAATTTTGGTCAGTTTGTGGATTCTGCATGTGTTTGGACCTATTCTGTGTCTAACTTTGGTCATTCTGAGCATTCCAGGTCTCATTTTGGTCATTTTCTGTCTTGTTTTGGTGAACTTTCATGTTCTTTGGGTCACTTTATGTCTAATTCTGGTCGTCTGGCGTCTCTTTGGTCATTCTTCATATGATTTTGGTCACTTTGTGTCTCGTTTTAGGGCTCTTTGCATCTCTTCTGGGTTACTGTCGTGTCTAACTTTGGTCGTTTTATGTGTCATTGTGGTTGTTTTGCATCTCTGTGGTCATTTCTCATCTAAGTTTTGGTGTTTTGCGTTTCATTGTGGACGTCTCCTGTCTTGTTGTCATCTCCGTGGTCACTCTTCTTCTCATCGTGGTCACTTTGCTTCCTGTTTTGAACATTGGGGTCTTGGGTTAGATTTTCTCGTGTGATTTTCGGGCATTTTTTTTGTCAGAAATGAGCCTTATCCACCTCTCCTTTAGCTGGCTGTGGACCCGGTCCGGACTGTGCTGTCCAGGTTCCACCACCTCGTCTCCTCTGACCCGGTTTCCGTCCTGACGCCTCCCTGAGCAGCAGCAGCGAAGCCACAGAGACGCTGCAGACGTCTGAGGTCCTGTGAGGTGAAGCTCTGCGGAGGGAAAACGTTCCTGCTGCTTCTGGCCCGGAGTGAACTGGGCCAGAGTTCTGGGTCTCCTGAGACGTCGTGTCCTCAGGATGCAGTCTGTCAGAGAGACGGTTCTGAATAAAACCGGACCCTGTTAGAGGGGACTCAGGGTTCTGACTGACGGGAAGGTTCCAGAACTTTCTACTGAAACGTGCCACGATCACATTAAACCGACCGGTCCTCTGGTACCGACGGGCTTCATGTGGTTCATAAGCTGATGGTCAAACATCCAGTCAGGACCGACCCGTGACCCGGTGAAGGTCCAGCCGTCCTCTGACCAGCGCTGAGCTCCCACAGGTCCAGGTTCTGTTGGATCTGATGTGGTTCTGTTCCCTCGTCTGCTTCGGTCTCGTGTGTTTTCTTCAGTTGGTTGAAGCTTCAGCG